AAAACCACACACTAAACGAACTGTTGTAAGTTGAGGAATACCTGTATTGGATTCTTGTGAATTTCCTGGAGTGATTCCAGTTCTGGATGTTGGGTGAAGCCCGACATCCAGAATATTTTATCAGTGAGAAGGTCAAAAGTATGGAAAGGAACAAGTTGGTAGACACAGAATAGTTAGCAGTGGAAGACATGGTGGACATCAACATGGACTTTTGAAGAAAAGATCAACAGAGTCTGTAGCAAATCAAGGGCACAAGATTTAAAGAAGGTGGAACTAGATAGGTTTTGTGATCTAATTGTACTCAGTGTTTCAATTTCATTCCTTTGTCAATCAATCTCTTATTTATTATTGAATTACAATAAACTACAATATAGTCATGTATTCATTGGCCCCTTTCCTGTCAACCAGCTATTCTCTGAGATGGAGACCACGACAGGAAGCTCTTGTCTGCACCAAGATGGATTCTGTGCCATTTTGCGCCTCTTGCTGGGCACTCCAGTTGTGGACGGAGCTGCACTCTATGGCCGACTCTGCACCGAGGACCACAGCCGGGACGGGCTTACCCTTGGTGAGAATGGGGCAGGGAGAAGAACTGATAGGATGGGAAGGAAACCCTCAACTGTGCACAGTACTAGTAGGTCATCCAAAGGATATTCAAAATCCATGCAGCAAGTCATGGAAGAGAAAAACAGATGGACGGAAATGATATGAGGAGCTGAGAAAGAGGAAAGCTGTTATTTTTCTGGCCACTGATATGATATGGAAGCCCTATGAGGGAAGCAGATTTGGATGAGAAAGTTTTGGGCAGCTCATAGGCCATATGCCTCACACCGAACCTTGTTTCTGTAGGCCATGGAGACCTCCAAGATCAAGTTTCTAGGTTTAAGCAGAAACTTCCATTTATGGTTATCTAAGTTGCAGTATGGAAGGAAATGTGGGCAGAAATAACACTTGTTTAGCCTCTTTTAAGCCTAGCATGTCTATTTTCTCTTTCGATACCCTCAACAGACACCCAAAGGATTGAAGAATCATTGAAGGAAACATTTGTAGCTCGGGGTTGAAATGAGGGGTCCTTGGTGCTCTCTGAGCTTGGTTCTTTTCTTGCAAACATTTCCTTGCCCAGACTAGGTAACATTATCAGTGCAGAATAGATGTGACCTCGTTCGGGTAATAAAATGTCTGCAAGAAAACCACCAAGCTCAGAGAGCTCTACGGACCCCTGAAGTATCATTACCAACTACTTGTGGCTGTAGGAGATCTAAGGTTAAAAATATGGCCTCTGATTGCCTGTTCCTCTAACCATGGAAGCAATAAGAAAGGTACTCAAGAAAGAGGAGAAATGGCTGTCCACATGTGAACTCTAAAATGTAGGCTCCATATTATAGAAGGTGGTGGTTGACATGTCACTTCAGAAGAACCCTGCAGTTTTCTTGGCAGCATTTTTGGAGGTAGTTTGCCAGGTCCTTCTTCAAAGGACAGAGAGAGGGGGACTGGCTCAAAGTCACCCAACTGGCTTTGGGCCTAAAGGAGCAGCATCTAATTGAGTTTGACTGATCTCAAAAAACAGCGGAGCCAAGTTGGACCTGGCTAGTCATTAGATAGACGACTGCTCCCATGTTTCAGGGCTATAGGCTAGGCTGGGAAGTCTGAAAAACATCCTGGAAGAAAGCAAATGGCAAACCCACTTCTGTATTGTTGCCATAAAAACTACCCAGGCATTTTCATCGGGCTGAACTGGCTATGTGGCATCTTTGCCTGGGTCAACCCGTAAGTGATCTAGGCTGATGTTGAAAAAAAAAGCCAAGAATTTGACCTTCTTGATCCTTGGAGGAGAAACCACGGAATAATTTCTAGGCTAGGAAGTCAAAAACACATCCTAGAAAAACCACAGTGGCAAGCCAATTCTGGTGCTCAGATGTCTTTGGAGATTCTCAACCATCCGGGTCATAGTTGTCCCAAAAGTGCTACTCCAAAAGACAACTGGACTTTCTGGATTTTGTCTTTGAAATTCTGGACAGAGAGGACCACTGGTTTAAAAAAGGGGTCAAAGAGGCCATCTATGTTAAAACTGAACGTCCCTCTCTGTTAAGAAACACCACCTATTTCCTGTCTACAACACAGTCCTTTCAGCAGTCCCAAGAAGGTTCCACACCCATTTCAACTCTGATTCAGGTGACTCTGAGGGTCCAGACAAACCCCCCAAGTGGCCTTAGCAACTCTCAGAGAGTTAACCACCAAAAGACTGCAAAGAATAAAAATCATTCCATCATCCCCACCCGTCCGTTAGAACTGAAGAAGCTTCTTGAATGAGAAGCGAAATGTTTCTAAAGAAAAAAGAAACCAAGAAAATCCAGTTTCCTTTTGGAATTACACCTTTGGGATCTTCCTGTGGTCATCTAGAACCATGCTTGGTTCAAGAGAGACTTAGTTTCTGTGATGTCACCATTGGGAGTCCTTTTATAACAACATGCTTTGTTTTCTCCTTTTCCGTAACCAGGTGAATTCCAGGACTTCTGTCTCCATCACCCCGACTATGCCCGCCTCTTCAGCACGTACCTGCGTCCCCCTCCAGCTTGCGCTCTGTCCAAGCCTGCCCAAGCCTCCACTTACGCTAACGGTGTCTCCGCCAACTCTCCCAAAAGCAAGGGTGACTGAAGCCCTCCCTCTGTCTATTAAGCCATGTGTATCCAACGACCGTGACAACAACCCACACTGACACACAGCCATGCCACACCCTTGGCCTCTACAGAGCCTGTTCCTTGCTTGCTCCCTGCTGTCTGGGTGGTTAGGCGGACTGGGGCCGAGATCCCCCCCCTCCCTCCCCATCTCAGGGCAAACGAAAATGGGGAAATCACAGCCGCAGGTTTTTTGGGGGGGGGTCAGGGATTGGGGCTTCTCTGGGTTTACTTTAGAGTTTTGTTTGGGGGGGAGGGCACGTGGGGCTAGGATTTTTATCCTATCCTTTATTTTATGTTGTTGAGTTTCGTTTTGTTTTCGTCAAGAGGAACGATGAACTGAAGGATGAGATCGTATGGTTTTTGGGGTTTCATTTTCTGTTTTGTAAAATATAAGAAAGTGCTATTTTATATATAAGATAAATATCTATATCTCTAAAATAAATAAATAAATAAATATATGTGTGTGTGTGTGTGTGTATATATATATATGTATGTATATATATGTATGTATATATATGTATGTATGTATGTATGTATGTATGTATGTATGTATGTATGTATTACATTTTAAAACAAAGATGGTTCCTGGCCTTTTTTTTTTTTTAAGGCATCGATACAGAGACAATCGTTTGCCATCTAGATTTTTTTTTTATCCCATTCAAGGTTGCAAAAGGAGATTAAATATTGCACAGTATCCCTACTACCTAATCAGTGGGAATAGGGCATTTACAGGTAGTCCTCGACTTACAACCACAATTGAGGCTAAAATTTCTGTTGCTAAGCGAGACATTTGTTCAGTGAGTTTTGCCCCATTTTATAACCCTGTCTTGCCACAGTTGTTAAGTGAATCGCTGCAGTTGTTAAATTAGTTACACGGGTTGTTAAGTGAATCTCGCTTCCCCATTGGCTTGTCAGAAAGTCGCAAAATGGGATCACACATGACCCCAGGACACTGCAACGGTCATAAATATGAGTCAGTTGCCAAGTATCTAAATTTTGATCATGTGGGCATGGGGATGCTGCAATGGTTATAAGTGTGACAAACAGTCATTTTTTTCAGTGCTGTTGTAATTTCAAACAGTCACTAAATGAAGTGTTGTAAACTGAGGACTATCTGTATAATACTCTGGGGCAGGGGTAGGCAACCTTGGCTCTTTTATGACTCATGGACTTCAACTCCCAGAATTCCTGAGCCAATCATGCTGAGGGGAAAGGGAGAGTTTCCAAGCTGAGCCATGCTGGCTCAGGAATTCTGGGAGTTGAAGTCCATGAGTCATAAAAGAGCCAAGGTTACCTATCTCTGGCCTAGGCCTAGGCCGCTTTATGACTCATGGACTTCAACTCCCAGAATTCCTGAGCCAGCCATGCTGAGGGGAAAGGGATAGTTTCCAAGCTGGGAGTTGGAGTCCATGAGTCATAAAAGAGCCAAGGTTGCCTACCCCTGCCCTGGGGCATTGTTCAAAATTCACTTATTGGGATGGGAGAAACCTCACTCTTTTTTTGCCCCCACCTTCCTGATCACTTCAGTTGTGCTAAGGGTAAGCGACTGATTTGTCCTGACCTGTTTGATGGCAATATAGCCGTGGTGGATAAGGAGACAGAATTTGGGATTATTGGAAAATACCTTATTTACTTTTTCTTGAAATGTTCCCATAATATTCAAGGATTGTTTTAAAAACCAACACAAAACGTTCCATTCCTAGAAGCGATAAAACGGCTCTTATTCATTTAGCTGTGGGTATAACTGCAATACCCCTCATCCTCAACCAGTTCTCCCCTTATCCCCAGCCAGTGCACTTAGAAACACTGAGTTTTTGAAAGGCTGCTTTGCTAAAAAGCATGAGCAGATCCTCATTGTTTCTCAAGTTGTAAAATTCCCTCTCCCTGTTCCATAAATTTGAAAGCGACAAAATGTGGCTTTCTCTAATTGTGCAGCCCATTTGTGATTCCTCCCTTCCCACCGTTCTCCATGTTTCTAATAGTTTATAAAATTGGCATTGTTGCCTAGCTGGGCATTCTCCAACTTGGCAGAAATCGTTCTCTCATTTTTGGTTGGGCCTTTCTTCCAAAGTTCACCCAAGTTCAATACAAGATGGACTTAGGAAGACGAAGCTTTTTTTTTGTTTTAACTTTCTGAACAGCAGAATTTAGACAGCTTTGGACTCCTTTCTGCAGAGCCAGTCGAGGGGTTTAAAATTGTTTTTAATTTGCTAAGAAGCATGAACAAGTGGGGTGGGGGGGGTGGGACATGTCCTTAAAAGAAGTTTTTTTTTTTTTTTTTTTTTTTAGAAAGATAAAAACCAACAAAACCTTATTGCCGGTCTTATTTTGAACAATGATGGGATTCAGGTGAATGAAGGTGACACTTATCAGCGTAGGGTTCAAAAAGGACATTTCTGGGCTTGTTTATGACAACCCACTTAGGAAAAGGGGACCATTTACTGGTTGCGAAGACGCTTGCTCCTCCGAGTCCCAGTGGTGTTGCTTTTTCTCTTGTGATAACGATGGACAGATGAGTTAACGTCCAAATTTTTGTTGGCGAGAGGGCTGGCATTCTGGGATAACTGACCCCTGGAGCAATGCCTTGGCTTAACTGGCTTTGCCAGATCCATGGGCGAAAAAGTCAGTGTGTCCCCTTGTTCCGTGGTGAGAAGCAAGTGGTCACTGTGAGGAGAGAAATTGAGCTTGGAGGCAAGTAATGACGAGAAACTGGACAGCTCTTCATCCTCTTCTTCATCCTCGTCTTCTTTGGGTACGCCTTCCATGGTTCCTCCAGGGAGGTCTGGAAGTACAACGTTCATCACAGTGACTGCCTTGACCAGATCACCTCCTAGCTGATTCCAGTTACTCGTTTCCTTCTCTGGAGTTACTGGCTCCCAGTAGACTTTGGATTCACTTCTCAGAGTTGTAGGGTTGAAATCAAGGTTTCCATGACTGCTATTGCCTTGGAGGCTAAGGGGTGATGGAAACGCACTAGTGGGTACAGAGGTATGAACTTCTTGGGGACCACTGTTCTCTCCATCAGCCTCGCTCCTAGAGATATAGCTGGAAGGATTTAAAGTGGGTTTTAGGCATTGGTCATTTGGAAGCTTTTCCATCTGTGGAGTGACCTTATCCTGATCTGAGAATGGTCCCTGAGACTCCCGGAGTTTCTCAAGGCCACTCTGGACAATCAAAGATGGTGGCAAATGCTCAGAAAAAATGAAATACGGCGGGTGCTCAGAATCTCCACCTTGTAACTGGTCTTCCACCTTACCTCCCTCACTCGAACCCCCTAAACACAATGGCTGCATATTTTTTCTGCCCAACTCAACACTTGGTTTTAAATTAGTTTCTTGATGAGTTTCCAACCCAGCTAGTTCAGTTGATTGTTGGCCATCTTGTGTAACACAACTCAACTGTTTGTACAGTGCTAAGTTATCAACAGGAAACCTTATGCTTCTCACTTGGCTTTTGCTTTTTATAGGCATGGTCTTCATTTGCTTTACATTAGTGTAGGCCTTTCGCTGAGATATGGTCTTAGCTCCTTGGCCAACAGGTTTGTGACCAGTTCCTGAAAGAGCTGGTATTAGTCTGTCTTGACTTGCTATACTTCGACCACAAGGATTTACATTTTCAAACTGAACTGCAGTAACAATAGATTTCTGAAGTCCCTGGATCTGGTATTGATCTTTGCCTACTACTCCCTGGCAACTCTCTTGTTTACCACGTTCAAACTGAAAGACTTCCTGACCGCTGACTTTGCTTTGAGTGTCCGGATGAGATCTCGTTTTTCTTTCCTGGTAGTCTAGCTCTGCTTTACTTACAGGACTTTCAAATCCCCCATCTTCTTGACTCTGAGGTTGATTTATGACCTGTTCAATCAATTCTCTATGTCCACTGAAACTCAATTTTAGATGCTTTTCTCCCTTGCAGTTCCCTACTAGCAACATATTGTCTTGTTTATTATGCTCAACTTGTTTTGAAGAAGACACTTGTGCTGCCCATATTGTTTTCATTTCTCCTTGTTGGTTACCATCCTGGGTTGATTTTACATTGTTCCAAATTGTCTGACTTCCATTCTTCACAGGTGCTATGATTCCATGGCTGCCCTTCTCTGTAGTCTTAGGGGACTCTTCTTGATCCTTCTTCTTTTGTTCCTGGCTGATATCTTGCTTTGCATTACCAGAAGAGACGAGTCTTACAATTTCTGGCCTTGCTTTACTATGCCTTGGTGATGCTAAATGACTACTAAGGGTGTTGTTTCCTTTCACGCTTGGAAAGGTCCACTGGGTCTGAGTTGGAGTTTCATTACCATTACTCATAATTAGATCTTTTTCCTGGGATTTCTGCGTCTCTCTTTCCTCTGAATTCTTCAAGGTGGATAGTAAATTCCCCTCCTGAGAGCCATGATTGCAATATTCACGAGGAAATAAGCTTGCTCTGCCAGTCTTTGGGAGAAACTCTCGGTCTCCCAGTTTTTGTTGTGAGTTAGAAGCCAGTGGAGAACTGACGATGGAGGTGGTCAACTCTAATTGACTGGCTCTGGCGCCCTTGTTGATGGAAGACCTTTTTACAGCCTGTCGCAACATGTCTTCTCCTTTGCCATTACCACTGACCTCATCTTCTTCCTCAGATTGTGATGGAGTGGAATCAGAATGGGATGTAGGATAGACAGAAGGCTCTCTTTCCTCTTCCGATAGTGCGAGAAGTCTCTTCTCAGTTAACTGAAAATAGAGACAGAGGGATTGAATCAAGATCATGTGAGGTACTAGTACAATTCTATAAAACCTTAGTAAGGCCACACCTAGAATACTGCATCCAGTTTTGGTCACCACACTATAAAAAAGATGTTGAGACTCTGGAAAGAGTGCAGAGAAGAGCAACAAAGATGTTTAGGGGCCTGGAGGCTAAAACATATGAATGATGTAAGAATTGGGGGTGGCTAGTCTAATGAAGAGAAGGACCAAGGGTGACATGATAGCAGTGTTCCAATATTTGAGGGGCTGTCACAGAGAGGAGGGGGACAACCTCTTTTCCAAAGCACTAGAAGGCAAGACAAAAAACAAGGATGGAAACTAATCAAGGAGAGAAGCAACCTGGAATTAAGGTGAAACTTCCTAATGAGAACAATTAACTAGTGCAGTGGTTCTCAACCTGTGGATCGGGACCCCATTTGGGGTCGAACGACCATTTCACGGGGGTCGCCAAACAACGCAGTCCGCCATTTTTTTCCCCCTTTTCCTTAGCTGTGCTACTCCCTTTTATTCTATTGGTTTTGAAAGCCAATAGAATAGACTCTCTTGAATAGAGGCTAATTCTATTGGCTTTCAGAAGCCAATAGGAATTGTCCAGGCTGTCTCTGCCCTGCTGAGCCTGCCAAAAGTCCCATTCTACAAGCGGTGCTGCATCAGTTGAGTAGTCCTTGACTTACGACCGGTCGAGTAGTCCTCGACTTACGACCGGTTGGGGGTCGCAGCATTAAAAAGGTTGAGAACCACTGAACTAATGGAACAACTTGCCTTCAGAAGTTGTGGGTGTTTCATCGCTGAAGGTTTTTAAGAAGAGACTGGATAGCCACTTGTCTCAAATTTCATAGGGCCTCCTACTTAAGCAGGAGGCTGGACTAGAAGACCTTCAAAGTCCCTTCCAGCTCTATTCTGATTGATATCAATTTGCACAAGACTAGGGAATCCAGGAGCCTCAATAGAAAATAAAATTTCTGTAGCCAATTCCATCTGAATTGATCTGTAAATCTGTTCAAACTCTGATACAGAATTTATTCCATGCAGTGGTCTTGCTGGAATCGAACTGCAGGACAAATATCTATTTATCCATAACTGAGAATCTCCCAGATTAACACTTGCAGAGTCATAAGTGTCTATTTTCAATATCTGGATGACAGGCAAGCTACAGCTGGATTTCACAAATTGCTTACTATTTCACCTTTTTTCCCCCTTTAATTTTTTAGCTCTGGACAGCTGGAGAGGGTGTACCCAGATATGCCTAATTACAGATAGTCATTTTATTGTTCTCACTTTAAAAATGAATGTTACTTTTTGAATTAAAAATAGCACTTAAACCCCAGGAATACATACAAAGGCCCTTACAAGCAGCTTCAGCATAAAAATATTAAATCTAAGATCTAAAATTTAGAATAGAACAGAACAGAATAAACAGAGTTGGAAGGGACCTTGGAGGTCTTCTAGTCCAACCCCCTGCTCAGGCAGGAAACCCTATACCATTTTAGACAAATGATTGTCCAATCTCTTCTTAAAAACTTCCAGTATTGGAGCATCCACAACTTCTGGAGGCAAGTTGTTCCACTCACTTATTAATTGTTCTAACTGTCAATAATGTTTTTCTTAGTTCTAGGTTGTTCTCTCTTTGATTAATTTCCATGCATTGTTTCTTGCCCTGCCCTCAGGTGCTTTGGGGAATAGGTTGACCCCTCTTGTTTGTGGCAGCCCCTGAGATATTGGACCACTGCTATCATGTTACCCCTAGTCCTTCTTTTCATTAAACTGGACATATCCAATTCCAGCAACCGTTCTTCACATTTGTTGCTCATCATCTTTGTTGCTCTTCATCTGCACTCAGAATGGCACCATTGCTTCCAATCCTCTTCTGCATGCCCTCCCCACTGCAGGATTGCAATCTCCCCATTCAAATTTCATTTCCTTGTATTACCTGGCTAGGGGTCAGGTTTAATTCTTCTGCTAACTCTTCCACCAGGTCCAAGGGATCTTGGGTTTTCTCTGGAGATAGTAAGTCAGCCATAAATTGTGGGTGGATAACAGCTTCCACCTGCCAGAGAGAAAAGAATGCCATCCTAGGCCAGGTGGAGGATAACCACAAAAAAGGCATCAAATTCTCATCGTGAAACTCACTGGTATGAACACAATTATATTCACGATAACAAGCAGGAACAAGAAGTGAGAAATTGGTTGGCAGAAGAGATTGCAACCTGTATTAGTTTAATAAATCCTTGGTGGCCTCTGAGCTTGGTTGTTTTCTTGCAGACGTTTCATTACCCAGCTAGGGAACATCATCAGTGCTGTTGGTACACTGATGATGTCACCTAGTTTGGGTAATGGAACATTGGCAAGAAAACAACCAAGCTTAAAGTACATAGTTCCCTTTAATAGCAATAGCACTTAGACTTATATACCACTTCATAGTGCTTAACAGCACTCTCTAAGCGGTTAACAGAGTCAACATATGGCCCCCAACAATCTGGGTCCTCATTTTACTGATCTCAGAAGGATGGAAGGCTCAGTCAACCTCCAGCTGATCAGAATCAAACTCCTGCAATGGGCAGAGTTAGCCTGTAATATAACATTCTAACCACTGTGCCATCGTGGCTCTTTAAAATAAGCTCCGCAGGCCCTAAACTTAAAAAAGCTTGAATATTTCAGCTTCTTCCCTTATGATGACATCATGGAGGCATTCTTCCGTCCCTTTTAGTTCTCAAGAGTCCTAAAACAAGTATTTGGCCCTAATTAAGGGAACGTTTTCCAACTTGGAGTTAAGCCAAGACTCATGTGGAAATGGCTCGGTAAACGGAGGCTCACAATTATATCCCCATTTGGAATAGCACCGCTCAAGAGACCGATGGCTGCTTGTAGTAAGCCACTGTCTTTTGTGAGCAAAAACAGTTTGGTTAAGGCATGGGTGTCAAACTTGCAATGTCACATGATGTGTCGTGATGTATTGTGACTTTTTCCCCATTGCCTGCAATGGGGTGGGCGCAGTTCCGCCATGATGCATCCGGCCCGCGGGCTGGCAGTTTGACACCCCTGGGTTAAGGCAACAGAGCTGATCTGCTGATGAGGGTCCAATGGTCTATGCCAGACATGTCAAACACAAGGCCCGGGGGCCGGATGTGGCCCATGAAGTGGTTTCATGTGGCCCGCAAAGCTATCCTGGAAACAGTGAGGGAACGGCCCCCGCTGCCTTGGCCCTGGTCCAGGCCGACCGAGAGCCAATGTACAATTTTGTGATGGCCATCTATGCTGAAACGTGTTCAGTCTTAGCTCCATAAGCCTCCTCTCCTGCATGGCCTGAGAGGAACAGTGAGGCTCCTCCAGTGGACCATGCCTTGGCCCTTGTCCCGGTCCCACTCCCTTCTGCCAGAGACCCTCAGATCTGTCCCACTCCTGCCCAGACCTCCACAGGCACTCTTGACATGAACGATGTAGAACTAGCCATGCCCACCCAGTAGGCCACACCCACCCAGTAGGCCGCATCCACCCTGGCCACACCCACCCGGCCCCTCGATGGCAACCTCAATGCTGATACGGCCCTCAGTGAAATTGAGTTTGACACCCCTGGTCTATGTCTTTCCATCTTCCTTGCTGTCTGGCAACTCTTTTGGGAAGAGAGAAAGGATAGCTGCTGATGGCCATTAGCACCATCATCATTGCCCTATCTACAAATTAAAATTATCTAACTGTGTTTTTATGATGTTCAACCCACATTTTAAAAGAATACTGGGAATTCTCAAGAGAAAGAAGTCAAAAAATGAGGTAGAAGAATGCTACAGCTCACAAATCTCCCTGCTGTTGGACATTCTTCGTTACCTTACAAACAAATTCTTCATCATCACACAACTGATCAATATACTGAAGCAGGCCAGGGTCTGGGAACACCCCTTCCTCCTGGTCCTGGGTGTCTCGGCACATCCCGTGTTCTTTCTTCTCAGCTTCTTCTTCCTCCCAGCTGGTGTTTAGTCCTTCCATGATCTCGGCATACTGGTGCACGGCCTCAGCAGGGATCTCCCTGGGTGCTCCTGGATTGGAAGTACTGGGTGGGCGCTTCTGACGGCGTCGAGGCTGTCGGCTTTTGGAAGCCGATTTCTTTGGAATGTATACTTTTTGGGAAAAGAGGGATTGGGGAGTCAATTCTGCAGAAAACCCACAGGCATCCTTTTGCCACTCCCCTTAAACAGAATGATACGGTCTACTCAGTCCTACAGTTGACCTACAAGGGTCTAGGACAACTAGCCATGGCCAACTTGCCATGGCCAACTCATTGTGTGACAACTCACCATAGGACAATTCAATACTATATTAACCATTTTCATTCAATTACTTTTATTATTGGGGACCCCGTTTTCACAGAAATTATTGTAATTCTTGTATTTACTCTTGTAAATACAGAGAAGAGCAAAAAAGATGAGCAGGGGACTGGAGGCTAAAACATATAAAGAACAGCTGCTGGAATTGGGTATGTCTCGTTTAGTGAAGAGAAGGACCTGGGGTGATATGATAGACGTGCTCCAATATCTCAGGGGTTGCCACAAAGAAGAGGAAGTCAAGCAATTCTCCAAAGCACCTGAAGGCAGGACAAGAAGCAATGGATGGAAACTAATCAAGGAGAGAAGCAACGAGAACTAAGAAGAAATTTCCTGATAGCTAGAACAATTAATCAGTGGAACAACTTGCCTCTGAATGCACCAACACGGGAAGTTTTTAGATAGAGATTGGACAACCATTTCTCTGAAATGGTATAGGGCAGTGGCGGTGAACCTATGGCACGCATGCCAAAGGCGCCACTCGGAGCCCTCTCTATGGGCACATATGCTGTCGTCCCAGTCCCACCTTCCCCCACAGCCCCCTACTCACCAGCAGCCCCCCAGAGGAGAATTGCCCCCGAGCACGGCCCACGCGGAGCAGCGCAGTCAAGCACATGGAGCCGGGCAGCTGGGACAAGACTCCACCCTCGCACTCCATTGCGCACAGATGATGCTGCAGGGTGTGGGCGGATGGCATGGCCGCCATGACACTGCTGGGCCGCCTGGGCAATCTGCAGCGGGTTGTGGAGGCGGTGAGTGGCCCTGCGGGTGGGCGGGGCAGGGGCGGAGCAGACTGGGGGCAGGGGCAGAGTGGGCGGGATGGGATGGAGTGGGGTGGGGGTGGTTTTTGGGCACTCGGTCTCTAAAAGGTTCGCCATCACTGGTTTAGGGTTTCCTGCCTGAGTAGGGGGTTGGACTAGAAATCCTCTAAAGTCCCTTCCAATTCTGCTATTCTATTCTATTCTATTCTATTTTAATTTTATCCTATCCTATCCTTGTCCCTGTCCCTATTCCTATTCCCATTCCATTCCAGGTCCCAGTCTCCTATTCTATTCTATCCTTGTCCCTGTCCCTGTCCCTGTCCCTATCCTTATTACTATTACTATTCCCATTCCATTCCAGGTCCCAATCTCCTATTCTATTGTATTCTATTCTATTTTATCCTATCCTATCCTTGTCCCTATCCCTATTCCCATTCCCATTCCATTCCAGGTCCCAGTCTTCTATTCTATTCTATTCTATTCTATTCTATTCTATTCTATTCTATTCTATTCTATTCTATTCTATTCTATTCTATCCTTGTCCCTGTCCCTCTCCCTATTTCTATTCCTATTCCTATTCCCATTCCAGGTCCCAGTCTCCTGTTCTATTCTATTCTATTCTATTCTATTCTATTCTATTCTATTCTATTCTATTCTATTCTATTCTATTCTATTCTATTCTATTCTTTCTGGATTTACTTCCTTTGTTTTATTATTATTGGCCACAGTTCCGTCAAAATTAATTTAACCTTTGTATCTATTGAATTGTCCCTCAGTGAATTGACCACAGCAAGCTCACTGTGACAAGTTGTCCCATTCTGGACCTATAATTTCTAGGGGACGGCCCAGGGAGCAACTAGATGAGAAGAAGGTGGAAGAATTTTCAGCAGTTTTCAAGGCTACTGCTTGAAATGCTCCTTTTCTTCATTCGGATTGGTCATTGAAAAGAATCACTGACGCTTCTCCAATTGGATAAGATCCAATTAGTTTCTGCCCAGGGAAATCCTAAATCAGTTTTCACTTATCTATAGCAGTGTTTCCCAAACTTGACAATTTTAAGGCATGAGGACTTCAATTCCCAGAATTCCACAGCCAGCAACGCTGGCTGTGGAATTCTGAGAGTTGAAGTCCACATGCCTTAAAATTGTCAAGTTTGGGAAACACTGATCTATAGCATCTGAACAGGGTGGGAATTCCCAATTCTCACTGAGAATCAATCCTGGGAGTTGCAGTCCCACTACATCCAGAGGGAATCGGGTTAGAGAAGGCTAGGCGAAGACAGGTCTGGGTTTGTACACAAAAAAAGGCATGCTAGCTTAAACTCATATCTCAGCAAGCCATAGCAGTGTTGGGAAGCAGAGACATATAGGAGCCAAGATTCTAACGACTTGAGTCCCTATCTAGTGTCTTCCCATAACTCAGGTTGATAGAAGCAACTTTACAAAATTCCCACATGTACACAATGTGTTCCATCGGCATAATGACCTTTGGTGTAATACGTGCTAGCTGTTGCTGTGCTTTAGCAACAGCATTTTTAAAATGTCTGGAATTCTTACGCTTTGCGCATTGTGGCCACTCAGAATTAGGGATTATTTCAGATTCCTTGTATGGTATTAAAAAGAGAAGTGAGTTGGAAAGGAGGCTTTATATATCCCAAACACATCACTTAGAGAAACATTTTTCCCCCCCAGGATTGCAAAGTGGAGCACTATAAACCCATATCCAGAAAAGCATGGAGCCTAAAGCCTGGTTCACATTTATAATCAGAAACACTGAGACAATGCTAATAGTCCTCATGGCTATGCATGCACTGGAGTCCTACTCTGCTCTTCAATTCAGATACAAAATCCTTTAAGCATTCCCTGCTAGAAGCATAATTAATGGGTGGGTCCAATAAAGTTACCTACCATCTCTGAGCTGCAGCAATCTGGGTAACCACCAGACAGCAGCAATACAATATGGAAAATGATGTCACCTAGTGGTTACTTGGAGACCTTGTGCTTGCATATGGTACTAAGTCAATGGTTCTCAACCTTTTTAATGCCGCGACCCCCAACTGGTCATAAGTCAAGGACTACTCAACCAGTCGTAAGTCGAGGACTACTCAACTGGTGCAGCACCGTTTGCAGAATGGGACTTTTGGTGGGCTCAGCAGGGCAGAGACGGCCTGGACAATTCCTATTGGCTTTTGAAAGCCAATAGAATTAGACTCTATTCAAGAGAGTCTATTCTATTGGCTTTCAAAAGCCAATAGAATAAAAGGGAGCAGCACAGCCAAGGAAAAGGGGGAAAAAATGACGGACTGCGTTGTTTGGCGACCCCCGTGAAATGGTCATTCGACCCCAAATGGGGTCCCAACCCACAGGTTGAGAACCACTGTACTAAGTCATGGTTTACTTTAGCTTTTATTATGCTTTTGTTGTAGCTGGCAGGGTTATAATCCACATGTACAGGTATTCCTCAATTTATGCCCACAATTCAGCCAGAATTTCTGTTGCTAAGCAAGATGCTTGTTTCTTGAGTTTTGCCCCTATTTATAATCTTTCTGGCTATAGTTTCTTGCTATTGTTAAGCTATACACGGTTCTTAAATGAATCTACCTTCTCCATTGGCTTTGCTTGTCAGAAGGTTGCAAAAGGTGATCACATGACCTTGGGACATTGCAACCGTCATAAATACAAGCCAGTTGCCAAGTGTCTGAATTTCGATCAATCAATCAGAATAGACCTTGGATATCTTCTAGTCCAACCCCCTGCTCAAGTGGAAGACCCTATATCATCTGGACAACCATTTGTCTGAAATGGTATAGGGTTTCCTGCCTGAGCAGGGGGTTGGACTAGAAGACCTCAAAGGTCCCTTCCAACTCTATTGTTATTTTAGACAGGTGGCTGTCCAGTCTTTTCTTAAAAACCTCCAGTGAGGAAGCACCCACAACTTCTGAAGGCAAGCTGTTCCACTGGTTAATTGTTCTGTCAGGAAATTTCTTCTTAGTTCTAGGTTGCTTCTCTCCTTGATTAGTTTCCATCCATTGTTTCTTGTCCTGCCTTTGGGTCTTTTGGAAAATGAGTTGACCCCCTCCTCTTTGTGGCAGACCCTCAAATACTGGAATACTGCTATCATGTCTCTCCTAGTCCTTTTTTTTCCCCTCTAGACTGGCCATACCCAATTCCTGCAACTGTTATAATAATAATAATAGTAGTAGTAAAGTTGGAAGGGACTTCATGTGTTTTTGTCTCCAGGCTCTTAATCATCTTAGTTACTCTTCTTTGCACTTTTTCCAAAGTCTTAACATCTTTTTTGTAATATGGTGACCAAAGCTGGATGCAGTAATCTAGGTGTGGCCTTATTAAGGCTTTATAAAACAGTACTAATATTTCACGTGATTTTGATTCTATGCCTCTGTTTATACAACCAAGGATTGTGTTAGCTCTTTGGGCTGCTGCCACAACACACTGCTGGCTCATATTTAAGTGATCATCCACTAGGACTCCAAGATTCCTTTCGCAGTTACTGTTTTTGAGCCATGGAGATGCTGCAACAGTGTGAAAAATGTAAGTCCGTTTTTTCAGTGCTGTTGTGACTTCAAACAGTCACTAAGTGAATGGTTGTAAGTAGAGGACTATCTGTAGCTTGATCATAAAACCATGTTTTTACCAAGGACATTGCTTGGATTCATACATACTACAGGTAGTCCTTAATTTACAACCTGCCCATTAGGATCGTTAAGTCACGATGGTTGTAAGGGAGGTTAATACTGTATGTGACTGGACCTGTTTTCACTGCCTTTTTTGTGGCTGTTGTTAAATGAGCACAATAGTTGCAAAGCAAACCCATTGTTTGTTATGGAGCGTTTTTGTCCCAAACTGGAAGTCAGCACACATTGTCTGCAAAAATGTTATAGGTTGTGGTGGACATGACCACAGGATATGGGAAACGGCCATAAATGTTGTCTGGCTGCCAGGTGCTCAAAATGCAGTCACATGACCATGGGGTGGGGGGAGAGGGAGTCAGCTATTGCAATTTTGGAACTGGGTCATAAGTATCTTTTTTGAGGTCTGTTGTAACTTTGCAGAATGGCTACTAAGTGACCAATCATAAATCAAGGACTAGCTGTCATTCTAAATCGAGCCAACTACATTACCTATGAACCCACTTCACCGGGGGGGGGGAAAGGAGTCTCACTACAAACAGGGCCCCAAACAAGTCACCGTGATGTAAAAAGATGTTGAGACTCTAGAAAGAGTACAGAGAAGAGCAACAAAGATGATTAGGGGACTGGAGGCTATAACATATAAGGAACGGCTGCTGGAATTGGGTATGTCTACTTTAATGAAGAGAAGGACGAGGGGGGACATGATAGCAGTGTTCCAGTATCTCAGGGGCTGCCACAAAGAAGAGGGAGTCAAGCTATTTTCCAAGGCTCCTGAAGGCAGGACAAGAAGCAACGGGTGGAAACTAATCAAGGAGAGAAGCAACCTAGAATTAAGGAGAAACTTCCTGACAGTTAAAACAATTAACCAGTGGAACAACCTGCCTCCAAAAGCGATGAATGCTCCAACACTGGAAGTTTTTAAGAAGAGACTGGACAGCCATTTATCTGAAATGGTATAGGGTTTCCTGCCTGGGGGTTGGACTAGATGATCTCCAAGGTCTCTTCCAACTTTACTACTACTACTACTACTACTATTATTATTATTATTATTATTATTATTATTATTATTTTCCCATCATGCCTCTTGTTGACTGACCCTAGGTAATTCTCCGAGTGGCTTCCCTGAGTGAATAAACCATTTGCTCAAACAGCTGATGATGGAGGATAGATAGTACCTTGCTGATGTCCAGACTCAGGGGCGGGGGACATTGGTGGCTTGGTGGGTTTGGGGACTGGGTTTTGGAACTGGGAACAGGTGGCCAAGAGTTTGATCTTTTGGATCTGCTGTTCTTCTTCGGCTTCAAATTCCATGAACCTGGGAAAAGATGGAGATGAAGAAGACTGAGTAGGGGGTCAACCATCTTAAACCCACACCAGATATGCGTAACATACATTGAGGGCCTCGGGGGAATACTAAAAAGGACACGTGGAGCCAATTCTCACTTTTCTGCCATTTCATAGAAGATCATGCGTTCAAAATTGCTGCTGTGCTCCCACTCCTGCACAGCACGAGGGACCCCATCCTCTAGGGTCATGTTGGGACGAAGGCGGGCCAGTGAACGGAGGACGGGGCTGTAGGGCAGGACGGCAATATTGTGTATCAACAAGATTTCCGAATTCTGAACAGCCCTCTCCACTGTAATGAGGTACCATCGCCCGTTGTAGCATCTCCCACCACATGACTTACAACTCTCCATCCTCCCCCCACCATTCCTTCCCCAAGCCTTCATCTTCAAGACCCCTTCAAAGTACCTTCTCAGCTTCCTGGCCTCTCCAATTGTGTGGCTCAGTGGTTACGGCGCTGTGATAGAAGTGTAATTGATATAAGTGCACAAAACAAGAAGAGAGTCGCAAGGGGCGAAGAAACCAACACTTTAAGATACACTTTAAAAAAACCGATTGGAAAAAGACGAGGGGGAAGTTAGTAATAGATTGTACAAAGACAGCCCTATGAGGAAAAGCAGAATATAACTTTGCAGCACCTAAGAGTGGGTTTATTTTATGCCAGAATTTTTAGAAACTTTTTTTTGGGGGGGGGGTGCTGATTTTAATTTTGATTCCGCTTTGTTTCTTGACATCACACAAACATTTGACACAAGCATATTTAGCAATGTAGCTGTAGCCTGAATTTATACATCTTAGAATAGTGGTGAGACTAGAAATTTCAGGTTTAAATATCGACTCTGATACAAAACTTATTGACTCTGGGTTAGATCTTGGCTGTGTTAAACATAAACTAGACAAACCACGTATTTGCTGCTCCAGGCTATATGATTATTTTATGGTCTAAACACTGGAGGAATGAAAGATCACCCAAGATTATTCAGTTAAGCGTAAGTAAATATGTCCTGTGATGAACAAAACAACATCTCTGAGACCAAGATACCTCATAGAATTGTTGGGAGGATAAATCTGAAGGCAAGATTACTACTGATGCTGCTTGGCTGCTGAAGGAGAAAGGTGGAATATAAATTAATCAAAGAAACAAACATCTTCTGGTTGTCTATCCTTAAACTTATAAATCTGAAATTTTAGATGGACCTCTTGCTGTGGAGATAAAATGAAAATCTCTGTAAATCTGACTCTCTAAATTTACATTAGGTTCACAATTTGAGATTTGGAGCTAACCAGTTCTTAGTTTGCTACCAAAGTCATATTGCTTTGGGCCAAGCCATTTCCCTCGCTCGAGTCTATTTTTCTAATGGGTTGAACTGAGCATTTTTTCAAAAATAGGATTTGCTCTAAACTTGGCATTTTGTCCCAGTGAAGGGTAATTTAATTTTAAGTGTCTTAGTCCCATTTTATAGTCTGGGTTCATATATTGCTCAATATTTATCAGAAGTCACTAAACCACGATATAAAGCTGGGTTCACCCAACAAACTAAATCAAAATCTAATACATTCTCTTAGGATTTGGCATATTGGCTGAACCCTGTCTATATCTCCTTATCATCCCAAGACAAGATCAGCCTTCCAACCTATGGATCTTGCCCACCAGGATCCTCACATGAAAAAACAAGCAAGAGCTTCTGCATCAGGTGTGGCTGGGAAATGGCGCCTCGCCAAAGCCTTGTAGCGTTGCCAGCGCCGGTAATTCTCATAAACTCCTTTGGAGGTACAAGCAAAAGAGGTGTCACTGGAAGGTGACCCTTGTGCAGATGGGACAGCCTCAGGTGCTCTGGTTTTCCGACCACCTGGCTCCTCACCGGCTTTCGTCAACAACACAGTGCGGATGCCAGGACCACCAGGCCCATCCCGGCAGTGGGTGGCCCAACCTAATGGCATCCCTGTCAGGAAGAAAGTCTGAGTTCGGGGCAGCTCCTCACTGCCTCCCATAAGTGGTCCTTCACGTTTCAGTTTGATGATCAGCTTGCTTCCCGGGGTGTCAGCTGAGGTCACCAGTAAAGCAGCCCCAGGAAAAGCTGGCAGGAGCAGTGAAGGGACATTTGGAGGGCAGGATGAGAGGCCAGGGGCCTGGGTATGATTCTGGGAGGTCATGATCCTATAGGAGAAAGAATCTTAAGCAAATTGAGCTGGCAGCCCTTTGGTCTCTGTGAGGTCCTGCTCTAACAGCATTAGTGGAAGTGGATTGGATGCTGGGTCTTCTGGGAAATTCATGAGGCCGGCTTCTGGTTTCCAAGAAGATCGTTCATTGTTGACTTGACTCTAGGTGCAAAGGTTGAATAACGGTTCCAGAACTTGGATGTCTTGGTGGTTCTAATAAGGGGGAGGAAGTTTAAAGTTCTACCTGCAGATCCGACCTGAATTTTCATACAGTGCCTCTGTATTTATCAAATATAATATTCCATTATGCCAACATAATGGAAATACTTTCAGATGACATGGTTCCTTCTGCCAGAAGGAACGTTCTACTCCATCTCAATAATACTTCCTAAGGGCATTTATCTCTTTTACCTCTTAACCTGTAAACAGGAATAGGTTACAATAAACTATTGGGTTCCATGATTAAGATTCATGCCTGATGTTGCCTGTACACAACACAGCTCTTATGAAGGTAAAGAAGCAAGCTTTACAAATTACTTTTGGGTCAGCTGACAATCCTTCCTTTAGCTGAGATCTTTAAAAAAAAAAATTACACAGGAGCCCTATAAAGTTACATACCTTTCCCCAAATATGATCTAAGTCCAGTTTACCAAAACTGAAACAGCAAGGGGGTGAGTATAGTTTCTGTTTGTGAGGCGCAGTTTGATACATGATGTCTCTTCTGACATCGGGCAGTGAAATGTAGGCACGTGTGGTATCCCCTTGAGGGCAGCCTAGACACTTACAACGTAAACCAGTTTGAAACTGTTTAACTGTCATATTAACAGAATTTTGAGAAATGTAGTTTGGAGAAAATACCAATAAAGCCTTCTCTGAGAGGGTTTGCTCCCAGGTCATACAATGGAAATGGGGTGCTGGTTTTTGGCGACACCTAAGAGAAAATTGACTTCTAGATGTGTTCCAGCTTTATTCTACAACAGGGCAGAAAGATGAGCTGGAGAATGATCTAAGATTTATTTCATTTGACTGCTTGGAAATGTGATATTCTTCTCCTCTCTTTGATCAAACAATGGGTTGTCACAAATTAGATGCTGTCATCCAAATTTTATTTTCCCAAACAGTCAAAGGTTTGAACAAAGCTAGCTTCTGCAAAAAGCCGACAATATTAAAATACAGCTGTTACTTCTCTCCTTTTTGTCTACTAAAATTCATCATCTGTTATGACAATGTTTGTCAAATGTGGTAACTTTAAGATGTGTGGACTTCAATTGCTGGCTGGGCAATTCTGGGAGCTGAAGTCCACACAGCATAAAAGTTGTCAGGTTTGAGAAATAGTGTGCTAGAGTGGTGAGTTCACACAACACTTTAAGCCAGGATGGTTTAGTCAACAAATCCAATTTTCCGGCTTCCATAATTTAGTGATCCTTACAGAACCTCCATGGGTGGGGCTTACCCAAGATGCACAAAACATAAACATCTGTTGAGTGGCTTGTGAGTTACTGTGATGTCCAAACACAAGACAAGATAATTTGGTGCGGGCTTAGTATGCGCATGAACTCAAACCACTGCACTTTATTAAACAAACAAGGGTAAAATTATTCTATGTGTTAGCACAGGTGCAAATCAGGACACCACGTGGGTCCATTTTGTTTTTCTTTTGAGGTCATTATCGTCCCTCCGTCGTTCTTCATCCATTATGCTAGGCAACAGCATCGGTGATCTACAAATCTCAGGGAAATTATGCCCATCGATAGTTTTGCAGTGCCAAGTGTTGCTTGTTACGCAACTTGCTTTTTTTTTTTTTTAATGCGGCAACTCTGTTTTCTTAGCAAGTCAAACGAAAACCTGAACGAAAACGTCCAAAAAAACGCACATCCTCAGTGACAATGCTTTCTACAAAACAAGGCTTGCGCGGAGAAGAACGACTACCGTTCCCAGAATTCATTGAGGGAAGAGACTACAACTTCCAGGAGAGCACTGCGAGCCAGACAGTAATGTGATTCGTGGAGCTTCAGACTAATAAAACGACAAGACCCAGAATGCTCTGTTTCTTGGGCGGTTCTTCTTGGGAAGATTAAAGTGGAGCGGTATCCCGGAAGTGGTGGTATGCACGTGTGTGCGCGCGGAGTAGCCGAAGAAGTGCGGTTTCATAATAAATAACCTGTAAAGTCAACGGCGTTGCGGTTGCAGCGTGGTCACAATGTTTCTGCAGTACTACATCAATGAACAAGGGGAGAGAATCTACACTCTCAAGGTAAGACTTGATTGGAACAGAAAAGAACAGAATAGCAGAGTTGGAAGGGAGACTTGGAGGTCTTGTAGTCCAACCCTCTGCTCAAGCAGGAGACCCTAGAGCAGGGGTAGGCAACCTTGGCGCTTTTATGACTCATGGACTTCAGCTCCCAGAATTCCTGAGCCAGCATGGCTGGCTCAGGAATTCTGGGAGTTGAAGTCCATGAGTCATAAAAGAGCCAAGGTTGCCTACCCCTGCCCTAGAGTATACTCTAGAGTCTAGACCATTTCAGAAAAATGATTGTCCAGTCTGTTTTTGAAAGACTCGAGATGGAGCATGCACAACTTCTGGAGGCAGGTTGTTCCACTGATTAATTGTTCTATCAGGAAATTTCTCTTTAGTTCTAGTTCTCTCCTTGATTTCTTTCCATACGTTGCTCCTTGTCCTGCCTTCTGGTGCTTTGGAGAATAGGTTGACCCCCTAAAATATTGGAACACTGCTGTCATGTCCATGTCACCTCGAGTCCTGCTTTTCATTAAACTGGATCAATCCAATTCCTGCAACTGTTCTTCAAATGTTTTAGTCTCGAGGCCTCTAATCATCTTTTTTTGCTCTTTTCTACCCTCTTTCCAGAATATCTACCTCTTTTCTATAATATGGTTACCAACATAATTATATAATATGGTGACCAATATGATTATATAATACGGTGACCAATATAAAGGGCCATGGAAATATAATTCCCATGGCCATTTAGCAATTTGTCTGAATGGTTGGCCTGTTTTGTGTTTTGACACTCTGTAGCTAATCTTCATGCATCTGGTGCGGCTGCAAACAATCTTCTTTCCATAGTATTTCTCTTAATCATCTTTTGGGAAGTAAAGGGAGGTGGAGAGAACGATCTCCATATGCAGCTGGATTTGCAGAATTTAATATGGGAATATTTTTTGTTCAATTTAAAACTAGGATAGTTATTTTTTGGGCTCTTCCAGGTCTTTAGTCTGGAGGGGAAAAACTGAGAAATATAGAAACCAGTGTGAAAAAAAGTTAAAATGGGATCGTTATCTAGATTTGGGAATGGAATATTCATTTACTGTATCCTATAGAATTTTTCACACTCCTAAAGCAAAACTGATAAAAAGAGATTGAAAGCACAAATATGCAACTCAGTGGTTAGAGCCGTAACATTCATGTTTGTTTTGTGATATTAAGGCTTGCAAAAAATGCCCCAATAATAATTTATAATGTATTAATAAAGCCGAACACAAACTGATATAGTCTTGACCACACACCATGTTTAACTGTAGTTGAAAAGAAGAAAATGTGGATAATTGATGTGACAGTACCAGGGGATAGTAGAAGAGAAGACAAAGAGTTGGGGAGGATCACAAAGTAACAAGATTTGAAAATCAAAATTGAAAGATTATAGCATAAGCTGGCCGTGTTGGCCCCAATAGTTATCGGCACATTTGGTGCCAGACCAAAAAAATCTTGGATGGCCCTTAGAAACTGTACACATTGACCAAATTTCTATCTGTCATTTGCGAAAGGCCGCACTACTTGGATCCACACATATATTACAACGTCCTAGGTTTTGGGAAAGAACTTGATACATATGAAGGCCAAGACTTGCAGCTGTGATTTCACATTTTAGGGTACATTATATATAAAATATTTTAAACAAAGAGAAGTAGAAAATAACAGAACAGTACAAGCCAAAAGAAGAATGATGGCAAAGAAAGTAAACCCAGAGACAAAGAGAGGAGAAGAAAGGAACATCAATTGTCTTCTTCAAAGGTCTGGGCAAAGAGCCAGGTCATTTGAAATACCAGTCGTATGGAAGCCATTCGCATTTTGGGGCGGACCTCGTATAATTATAGGATGATGAGAATACCTCTTAATGTAATGTCACTGCCTAGCTTTGGGATTATTTACATGTTATAATGGTAATATGGTAATTATATCCACTTATTATATTATTCATTACTACATTTTGATTTCAGTCTCTGACAAGCTGAGCTCAGTATTGTTCCAAAAGTGTTTGAAGTAAGATTTTTCGAAAATGTGTAGCCAGTTTCATACCATGCTAAGCCAAAACCAAAAAAAGCATGAATCCAGCTGCTGGATTTTGGATTTAATGTGATGCATAAACTGCACATATACATACATATATACATACATACAGCCTCTCATCTCACTAAAAATGACTCTTGGCAGCATACAATGTATTTTAATCACCACATTAGATTCTCAATACTACTAAAACTCTTTCCCATATCCTTTAATTGGGCAAAACGTTAGGAAACCATAGAACAACAATTTTTGAAACAAACTACTTCAAATAGGCTAATTTATATAATGCATCCTTAACTCAGGACTCATGACTTCTGTGGAATTGAAATTTTGCAAATGTTATAAAGCTTTTTATGACATAAACAATATCCTTATGACACAATACAAAATATCATAAAATATGTCCTGTGCTGATGTTTGATTGTGGTATGCGTATATCAGTGGTTCCCATCTTTTCTGGCTCCATGGAGGGGTGATGGGAGGGATGGTTTTGGGTGCACAACCTAGATCCTGCCCATGTGCAGATGAAGCTTCGTTCACCTGCTGCGTGTATGTCCCGGTTCCCAACAGGCTGCGGACCGATACAGGATTGTGGATCGGGAGGTGGGGACCCCTGTGCTATACAGTTCAACATAGTACTAATATAGAATATTTGTAGCTTAGGGTTGAATTGAGGGGTCCTTAATGCTCCCTCTGAGCTTGGCTGTTTTCTTGCAGTTGTTTCGTTATCCAACTAGGTAACATTATCGGTGCTGGCACTGAACATCTAGCACTGATAATGTCACCCAGTTTGGGTAATGAAGCATCTGCAAAAAAATAACCCAGCACAGAGAGCACCAAAGACCCCTCAATTCAACATGTGCTATTTTCAAGGCAGATACATCTCTGAATGAATCCTAACTTTTCCAGTGAAAGCACGGCATTAGAAGCTCTGTCATTGTTGAAGACATTGAGGAATCTGATAAGGAAATATTTCTGAAATGATGACCCCCTGAGGT